TTTTTAACTTGAAAATGGTGCCAGGATGACACCGAAACGTCGTTGCTCAGTTTTTTCGCTAATCTTTATTGTTAACTGTATTTCCAAATTTAATCTTAAAGTAAACAATGCCAGGCAAAATACAAATTAACTTGAATGGTTACACACTCAGCAAAATGTGTTTCATCTATGGACTTAACACTTTGAACCACATTTTACAGCTCAACAAAAAGCACCTATAAATTAAAGTACTGCTTTCAAGCTTAAAGGCAAAGTACAGCACTGCATGTACATCTCCTGAAAATAATTAACATCTAACTTTCCTGATCTTTTTTATGAACTTTTAGGCCTTGTGTTTTGCTTTAATGTGAAGATTTCAAACCAAGTACAATCATTAGCAAAACGACTCGGTATCTCGATTAAACAGCACAAGATCATTTACAAGCTGTTAGAAAACATCAAGGTTTGTAAATTCTGTCAGAAGTTCTAGTCCTCTTCTCAAACTCATTTATTTAATAATTCATTAAGTTTAAACAAAGGAAATCATGACCATGATGATGTTTGGATATCTGATCTCCAGTCCACTCCACTCCACTCCCCTCAAATAAGCACTCCCTACCCTCCCCCTGGTTTATGGAAGAGTACTGAGACAACAAAGGATGTATAGTATTGGTTGTCTTTAATCACGAGCAAGAGATTATCAACTTGTTCAAGCACTGTGCATTGACCATCGCAATGGATGGTAGTGAAGATCTGCTGATTCATTGCCTAAGGCCCAACCAACCTTGAGCAGTAGGCCTAGACCAGATAAACTACTGAGGGACTGACACGAACATATATTACAAAAAAGCGGTCATATCCGACAACAATTTGAGAAAAATTACATAAGTACTCCCCTCCCCCTTTGATTAAGGGCCTACCTCAGACCCCCCGTCTTCTCCTGAATTTGAAATAAGCGTCCCGGACATTAATTCAAGGATTTATGGTACATTTCGTTCCATCTTGTTCAAATATTAATGATATTAATTTATTTGTATCCCATGCTGGTAGGATGAAATTTCAAAAAAACTGCCCCCTTTGCATGAAGAATCTGTAAATGGTGAGGCAGCAGTCCTTAAAGTTTTTAAGTTGACTGGTTCACGTAAGGCAACGGTGGCCGGCTGTCGTGTGATGACAGGAACACTTGTACGTGGTAAAACTTTGTACAAAATTCTGAGGAATAAAAGCATCATATTTGAAGGTGAGCTTTGTTGGTATGTGTGGAATGTGAAATGTGATTTATGGAGATGTTAGTGGTAGTGTGGGAACATTTGAAATCTGCTTGAACAGTGCAAGAAGAATTTACCCTTTGGTCTAATTTCCAGAGATCCAAACCCTTGGATGGAAATCTCAGGTCTTTTGTAGTGCATATTCATGTACCCTTGAGTCTGCATCTCAGCTGGTCTTCTGGAGGAATACATACCCCAGGGTCCACTTCTCAGGAGGGGTGGGGGGGGGGGGGCTCACAGTGACACAGACCCACATCTTGGAAAGCCCCTCGTTGTGGCAAAACATTTGAGGTCAATGTACAGAGTCAAGTAACCATGCAGGGCTGTGCTCTAGAAGCACCCTACTACCACAAGCGACTAACTTTTACCTTTGAGCAACTGGAAAAACTTACTTTTTTCATGTACATGTAAGCCTAAGTGCTGGGCATCCAGGATTTCATGGTTGGGAACCTTTGGGCTCCTCATAATTTTTCTTAGACCACAACCTTGCCATGTGCCCTTTGGGTGCACATTTACAGTGGCTCTTAGTAGGACAATGCATGTCCTTGGATTCATATTTTAGGGGATTCCCTTAGGAGATTACCTCTCTGCAACATTTAAACTGTCTTTTGGTGTACTAGATATTTTAACTATAATGTTTTTCTCTGTAACAGGAAAATTGGCTACCATGAAACGCGGTGTAGATGACATAAGTCAAGCAAAGAGGGAAACAGAATGCGGCCTATCATTTGAGAAATTCACTGACATACAAGAAGGAGATGTGATACAGTGTTGTACTGTAACTGTAAAGGAGCAAGAAATTGACTGGGATTGGGGTTTTTGATTAAATGACAAAATGACTGGGAGTCCTTAGCTCTTCCATGGGGACACTTGAAAAGCTGTTTTGTAAATAAATAAATTATACATATCAACAATGATTGAGTTGTTAAGTGTGGTAAATTCTCACTATTTGACAGCTTTGTTTTTCTTTTTTAACATCACTACTTGTGTGTTCAATTTTTCCTCTGCCCAAGAGATGTCAGAGATTCAATCTGAAAATTTCTTTACTGATGTTGTTGCTTTACAGAGAACCATAAAATGTCGTGGATTTGAATGACATCAGCATTGAAGAATCTCACAAAAATCTCATGGACACAGGGAAAGATCCAAACAGTAACATCTGTCTTAACTCAATCACACAAAGTTATTGCTAACTCAATGCCACAAGTTATCACACCTTGTGGTTCCTGTTATTTGATAAATGAACAAATGAAAAACAAAAGACTGAACTGTTCAGCGCTAATGCAATTAATGCTGAAATATTGTAGATGAATGCCACAATGTAGTGTAACATGTCTTGATTAAAAACCTAACTGGCAAGAGGTAATCCAATTAGCTATGCACAAGCATGAACCAGGGGTTGAGCTCTGGACTACTCAAAATTGACGCCGTCTAGTCACAATGGGTCTAACGCATGGATCTAGGTTAAATGATGTCCAATTCCCAAAACAATGACTGCTGAAGGTGCAAGTTTCTAGAGATGTCTGGTGCCATGCTTCCCCAGGAGATGTTTTGATTTTAACTCCTAAAGATGCCTTTCCTGGGTTTGTGAGTCATATTTTTGAAAAATCTAACCAATTTCCATAAAATGGTGGAAACTGGTATGGATCTCTGCCTGGGACTTAAGATTTCAAGTCCAGCGCACTCAGCAAAGCTGCCCCTGTAATAGGCCATTTCCAAGTTAACTTGCACTTCTGTTTTAAATTGAGTCCTCCTGCAAAACCTTTCTTATGAAAAAAGTTTGATCTGCATGAAAATGAACCTTTAGGGGGTACGCATGTTCTTATGAATGGTTTTGCACCAAGACTCATTTTGACACAGAGCCAAAAAGCAACTTGGAAATGGCCTATCAAATAAGTGAGCACCGTTGATTGTCTATGTCACAAATCTTATCCACAAGAAATTTGAAAATTCATTTTTATTATTTTTTCACAACCATTTAATACAGTACTTTAAAGAACTTGTTTTTCTTAAACCAAAACAATGTATTTAAATATTAACTTGTGATAAAACTAAACCAATGAACATCACACATAATTTATGGCAAACATTAATAAATTTTAAATATTACATTGTTAACAATATTATATTTTAAGTTAACAGATGCAGTAAGCCTTTACAAGGTAAACTAGAATTGAACTAGAAAGTAACTCTGTTTGTAAACTGTTCCTGAAGACAAATGAAAGCCTGGGAAAATAAGGAGGAGTAATGCAGATAAGTGTAACAACTTTGAGTGTGCAGACGTCAACATTCAAGTATTTCTCTACATTGTAATTGTCAAAAAAAAAAAAAACAGAGAAGTGTCTCTACCTTGACAGCCAAGATGAAGGTGAAAAGAGAGAAATAGTGTAATATCAATTATAATATGAGAATTAAATTAAACAAAGTAGATATGAAATTGTTTAAATATTTCCAAAACTCCTTGCCTCCCTTGACTTCCATTAAATACAATAAATATCAAAATCATATCTTATTTCCAAAGACCGATGAAAAACCTCAAAATATAAATACCAAATAACTATTAATAATAATGTATATAATCTTACAGTTAGCCCCTACAGCTACTGCATATTTCTATACTCAAAATTAACATGTTGTGTAAAGTAGAGAAGCACTCTTTAATCTGCCATACCTCATTTAAAGAAGCTACATCACAGTTTGTGCATCTTAGAAAGTTTAGCCAAATTGTTCAAGGTTGTTTGTAATCCTTGTTAATCGTCTCCATTCTTAACCATCCTTGTTTCTTTATGGTTTCTTATCTCTTTGGTGTTTTTCCATCTTTAGTAAACTACTATAATTTTAATGTTTCCTTTGATTTAAAGGTAATTTCATATCTGGACAAAAACTTGAAATACCATGACTGAGCTCCTTCAAGTTGAGAAATATGTTCATTCAAGCAGGGTATTGCCTTTTTCAATGGGATTATAATCAATGTAATAAATCAATATATCTTGGCCAAGATGTGGCATGTGAACAGATGTCTCCTATTTTTGCACATCAGGAAGAAAAAATAGGACATAGCTGTTCACAAGTTGTGGTGAAAGAAACGCATCAAGTTTAGCTTGGAAAAAGGCAAAACTCCATTGAGAGCAACTTGACATACAGATCAAAGTTACCCAAGCACACCGTACAAAACCTACACTTAAAAACAGAACTACAAACTTGTTAATACAAATAATTTATAATGCAATCCTATGTGAAAGATATGAAATTAAGCACTTATGTCCAGGACACGTAAATCTGTATCTCAAAGCATGCAACAATTTACAAGCTGCCTTTAAAAGGCAAAAAAATGTAACTATTAAATACTTATAATTAAAGGATCATACGCAATACTGCAAGTTGTAACTGGTGAGCCACAAAAGATGTGATTGAGAAACAGTTTCGACAACAAACTGTGCCTTTACAGTGAACTTCTGCATCAAGATAAATAGTGATTTGGCTTTAATGGCTGACTTTTACACGTCAAACATTCAGCTTCATCGCTACCAAACATTTATGTGAAACTATAGAGTCAACCAGCTACATTTATTTACTGTTTATGGTACTTCTTTGGGAGCCTGACATTAACAGAACATGACTGCAATATGTCAAGACTTGGTGTGTTTCAAAACAATGGTCTATATATCACTCTGAAACAGCTTTCACTTTTTGTGACAGAAAAAAAAACAAATCAAACAAAGACACTTGATAGTAATAACAATGCAGCCTGAAAGATTTTTTCTTCACCAAAGAATCTTTTAAAACCATAATTCTTTAGTAACCACTTCAAAATTCAGAGCCATTTCATTCAACAACCAATTTTGCTGCTACATGTTCTTTCTTGTTTCTATTACCA